TTAATTACGGGCACATAATACCTTGATGAATGGCTGTTATTTACCAGTGTGTCTTCTTGGAATGACTGAAAGTCAATTAAAGCTTCATAAGAATTGCTGCATTGCATGGCCCAGGCGATAAAATATTTTTTTAAAAAATAAATAAATAGTTGTTGTCTTCTACGAGAAGATGAACAGTTGCGGGTTATCCTGTCCATTTGCTTGAAAATTAGAAATTGGAAGAAATGAAGTTTGCTACTTGTAAAGGACATTCATCACATTAAGCTTATGGCTATGATTATTAATTATTATTACTGCTACTATCGTTATTTATAGCCTGCCTTACAGGAGACAAATCCTTCCGTCGTGGCTTACAAGCGACATTAAAATGCATTTAAAAAACCAATAACAGCAATAATCAAGATATGAAAGGCACCAGAATCATCCGTACAAGGCAGCTGGGTGCAGGTGGGTCAGGTGGGCTGGGGAGGGCAGACAAAGTTGGCACTTGATGTCTTCTTTTCCTGCCGCCCCAGTCTCATAAAGTCATAGAACTGGAAGGGACCCTGAAGATCATCTAGTCCAACTCCCTGCAATGCAGGAAACCCTTTCCAGAAGCAGCTGGGGACATACGCCCCCCACCCCGGTCTTCTATGCATCCTCTGATCCTTTGCAGGAGGTGGGATAGAGGCCCCCGCCTGCTCAATGCATTAAAGGCAGTCTTGTATCATTTTGAATAGCCATGGCTTCCCCCAAAGCATCCTGGGAACTGTAGTCTGTTAAGTGTGGTGAAAGTTGTTAGGAGTCCATCTCACTACAGTGGGGGAGGTGGCAATTTCCAAGGCTCTTCCTGTTCTCCTTTCATAGGACCCACATGGACTGGATACAAATAGAAGACCATCCTCCATAAAGCAGGCATGAAGTAGCCTGTCGTAGGAAGCATTACTAAGAAGAACCTGCAGGATCAGGCCAATGGCCCATGTAGTCCAGCATCCTGTTCTCACAGTGGCCAACCAGATGCCCCAGATGCGAAACCAGAAAGCAGGATTCAAGCACAAGAGCAACTCTCCCCTCCTGTGGCTTCCAGCAATTGGAATTCAGAAGCATTGCTGTCTCCAGCTGTGGAGGGCAGAAGATAGCTATCCTGGCTAGGAGCCACCAATCGCCCTCTCAATAATAATAATAATAATAATAATAATAATAATAATTTATTATTTATACCCCGCCCATCTGGCTGGGCTTCCCCAGCCACTCTGGGCAGCTTTCAACTAAATATTAAAATACCGTAATGCATCAAACATTAAAAGCTTCCCTAAACAGGGCTGCCTTCAGATGACTTCTAAAAGTCTGGTAGTTGTTGTTCTCTTTGACATCTGGTGGGAGGGCGTTCCGCAGGGCGGGTGCCACTACCGAAAAGGCCCTCTGCCTGGTTCCCTGTAACTTGGCTTCTCGCAGCGAGGGAACTGCCAGAAGGCCCTTGGCACAGAACCTCAGTGTCCGGGTAGAAAAATGGGGGTGGAGACGCTCCTTCAGATATACTGGGCCGAGGCCGTGTAGGGCTGTAAAGGTCAGCACCAACACTCTGAATTGTGCTCAGAAACGTACTGGGAGCCAATGTAGGACTTTCAAGACTGGTGTTATGTGGTCTCGGCAGCTGCTCCCAGTCACCAGTCTAGCTGCCACATTCTGGATTAGTTGTAGTTTCCGGGTCACCTTCAAACGTAGCCCCACGTAGAGTGTATTGCAGTAGTCCAAGCGGGAGATAACCAGAGCGTGCACCACTCTGGCGAGGCAGTCCATGAATTTCTCTAATCCTCTTTTAAAGCCATCCAAGTTGATGACCATCACTGCTTCTGGTGGCAGTGAGTTCCGTAGTTTTAACTCTGCACTGCATGGAAAAAAATGCTTTCTTTTACCTGCGCTGAACCTTCCAGCATTCAGATTCGTTGGAGGTCCACGAATTCTAGTATTAGGAGGGAAAGAGAACATATTTTCTCCAGCCACTTTCCCCGTTCCCTGCATAATATTATAAACTTCTATCGTCTCGCCTTTTACTCGTCTTTCTCCAAGTAAAAAGTCCCAAATGCTGCCGCCTTTCTTCATATTATTGAGTCGCTCCACCCCCTTGAACATTTTGGAAACAAAAGAACCCAAGCTATTTGGGGATTTCATTATGTTGTGTTCACCCCACCCACCCACCCCAGAGTTTGGGGAGAGATAGTGGGGCAAGGTGTCATAAAATCTGACATTTCTCTCCTCCTTTGGCATGAAACAACATTGTTCCTGGGAGCGTTCGCATTCCCAGAGTCAATTCCATTCACGTTACTGACATGATACAGCCAGGGGAATGTGCCAAAGCAAATACAGTCATGGCCAAAAACAAAAAACCTCCCTGAGCCCAGTTTGGCGCAAAGAGTTATTTCAGTCCAAAATACCTCCCAGTGCTTGGATGGGCACCGGGAGATGTTCAAAGCTGTTCTGCAAGCATGTTTATCGAGACTTCCCCTGGAGCTCCATCCTTTCCCATTTAGCCAATAGATGCTGAGATTTGCTTTATTGGGGTCTATTTTGCTTGCAGTGGTTGTCTCAGTTTTCCATAGCCTCATTTCTCTGTGGTATCCTGCACATAGAATCTTCCAGCCAAAAGCAGTGCGCAAGGCTTCTGGAAGAGATGACATCATACATACCCACTCAGCTGCTTCGAGAGATAGAAACGGTGCTGTTACAGGAGCCACAAAATACCCGTTATGCATTTGTAAGAAACCAGCGTTTTTTGTGTGGCTACACTTTGGAACTGCCTGCTGATTGACACCATTCAGTCTTTTTATTTGTAGGCCACTTTTCCACACACACACACACACAAATCATGCTCAAAGCGGCTCACGACAAAGACAACACAAAGGCGCTCCGAAAACAATTTCCTAACAGCATAGTAACATAGTAGCGATTTCATAACAACATAGCAAAAACAATGGCACAGTGGTACCTCGGGTTACAGACGCTTCAGGTTATATATGCTTCAGGTTACAGACTCTGCTAACCCAGAAATAGTACCTCAGGTTAAGAACTTTGCTTCAGGATGAGAACAGAAATCGTGATCCGGCGGCGCGGCGGCAGCAGGAGGCCCCATTAGCTAAAGTGGTGCTTCAGTTTTAAGTTAAGAACGGACCTCCGGAACGAATTAAGTACTTAACCTGAGGTACCACTGTAATGCACCAAAAAAACCACATTTCAGTCTATAAATATAACAAGATTACTTAAGCAACATGCAGCGTCCAATAGCAAAAATAACAAGGGAGCTTCACAGTTTACCCTTAGTCCTTCCATGATATAGCTAAGTGCCCCTCTCCTGCAGCTACTTGCAAGTTCAGGGGCAAGGGATTGGGGTGGGGGGTAAACTGGAAACACCCCTACCATGGGCAGGTACTTTCCCTCTACTCTTTCCAGTGCCTGCTAAAAACATTTTTGTTTAGACAAGCCTCCCCAGATATGGAGAATGTCGATGTATATTTTACTCTGTTTTAGTTTATTGCTGATTTTACTTTCTGAATATTTTAAAGAGTCTTTTTACGGATAATTTTATTGTTTTATTCCCTTTGTAGACTGCTTTGGGGGGTTGTTGTTTTGTTTGATAACCAAGTGGCATATAAATTTTGTTGTTGTTGTTGTTGTTGTCTGTCCGTCTCGGGGGACATTGCAGAATGCACCTTTGGGGATAAAGTCAAACCATTGGAGAGCATCCGCTGTGGCTGATTTGATTTGCTCTCTGAGTTTTGATGTGACCATTTGGCCTCGCTTCCTTGCCAAGTCTGTTAGCACACAGTTCATATGATTTTAAAGAATTTCTGTGGGTTTGAACAAGAAAAGTGTGATTTCAGTGACTGAATCCAGTAGAAGCTAAAGCTGTAATCTAGGTGGTTTGGTTAGAGAGAAGTTTGCACACAAAACAGTAGACTTTTCCTTTCCTGGGAGAATACACTAGCCATTCGGGAGGTAGTTTTCTCCATCTACTTTGGTGGAACAGAATAAATTATTTGAGCAGAATATAATTTGAGGCTTGATTTTTGTATGTTCGCTTCAAAGTGGTAAAAGCAGTGCTTTTTTTCTGTGGGTACGCAAGGGTACGCATTCTCCTAAACATTTTTTGAATCGTTGTACTTTTGTCCATTTACTGTATTTATTTTTTTCCGATTTGAACTATAAAGTGGTGATTTTCGTGAGTCAAAATGGGAGTATCCCTAAACTTTTTTTTTTAAGAAAAAATCCCAGTGCTCGCATTCCCATGGACCTCTCTTAGCCCAGAATTACATACCAAACACAACACGTTTCCTTTCAGAACAGTTCGCTTCTCACTTTCTCAGTTAAAAAGCAATGAAATATATATTCCAAATGATAAGTTTGGGCGGGGGGAGATTCGAACTCGCAACTTCAGCTCTCGGCTATTTCAGGAGCATTGCGGTCGCCATTTTTGAAGCGGGAAAAAGAAAAAGGCACGCAGGCGTCTTTACCCGGTGTTAACATGACGAGTAAATCTATCTTCCGATTCGGAATCGAAGATTCATCCTTCTTCCCCGCCACTCCCGGTCTTTCTACCTTTAAATACTCTAGTATTTAAATAACTCTGTCCTGAATCTCAACATAAAGAAGCACTAGGCTCTAAATAATCCTCGCGCATATTTTTTTAAAGACAAGAAAAGGACGGGGTTAACCGGCTCCTGAATTCGAATAGCTTTCTAGAGTCTTGGCTTCCGATTGGTTAAAAGCGTGCATATATTAGGGCGTCAAGTTCAGGAAGCAGCTGTATTTTTAAATCGTGCAGTTATTTTCCGCTTTACGAAGTGCTTCTAAGATGTTGAATGAAGTGCGTAGGGTGTGTTTATTTATTGGTGTCAGTGGAAAAGGCAGATGGTAAAAACTTAAAGTATTGGGGGCGGGAGGCAGATAACTCAACTGGCTCACCATGACCTGGAAAAAGTATGGCTTCCTGTGGTATATAAACAGAGCGCAGCAGCCTGGTTGGTGTGTTGTATGAAAGGAGAGAAGGTTAGCACTCCCCTTGATAAGGATGGAAGAGGTCCTTGTGGCCTGTACAACACGCATATGGTTAAGGCATTGCCACCTACTTCGTGGCATCTAACCAAGTTTTTTCCCCTGCAAAAAACCAAAACCACAACCCAACAACACAGTTACTCCAAGAATTAGAACTCATCAACATCAGCAGCAACAATACTCACTAAGAATGGAATGCTTCTTTAATATTCTTGCAGAAGTGGGGGTGGGGGACTTAAATATTTATTTCTCTGTAGCTTGCGGTGGGTGAACAAACTCACCTCCCAGGGTTGTCAGGAGGAGGAAGACTATGTCCAGAACCTGGGATTTTGTCATTGGCATCTGTCTGTCTCGGGAGACAACAGATAGTATATACGTTTTATGAAATAAAAAAAATTTAAAAACCAAATCATTATTATTGCACATCAGGAACAGAACCAACACTGGTGTAGAAAGGAGCTGCAATGTGGGATTTCGAACTTCCAGTGGAGGATGGATGGCGGCTAACAGATTGAGGTTGAATCCTGACAAGACAGAAGTACTGTTCTTGGGGGACAGGGGGTGGACGGGTGTGGAGGACTCCCTGGTCCTGAATGGGGTCACTGTGCCCCTGAAGGACCAGGTGCGCAGCCTGGGAGTCATTTTGGACTCACAGCTGTCCATGGAGGTGAAGGTCAATTCTGTGTCCAGGGCAGCTGTCTACCATCTCCATCTGGTACGCAGGCTGAGACCCTATCTGCCTGTGGACTGTCTCGCCAGAGTGGTGCATGCTCTGATTATCTCCCACTTGGACTACTGCAATGCGCTCTATGTGGGGCTTCCTTTAAAGGTGACTGCAATTAATCCAGAATGCAGCAGCTAGACTGGTGACTGGGAGTGGCTGCCGGGACCACATAACACCAGTCCTGAGAGATCGTTGCTGTAAACCACCTTGGGTATAGTAATATGTAAAGGTGGGATACAAATTAAAAGTGGAATGGGGTAGACACTGCCTGCTCCAAGGTCACCCAATGTGTTTCACGAGTGAGTCGAGATTTGAACCCAGGTCTCCCAGGTCTCTAACCTACCTCATTCTGTAGCAAAATTAACTTTTGAGGATGTGAGAAAACAAAGGGTGTTTATTGCTAGCAATAAAGGCACAGTGGCATCACTCTCCAAAAGCTAAGCAAAGCCCAAAAGAGTGGGGCGTGCTTTATATACATAGCTGTTATCTGTTAAAGCAATACTCCTGGTGGAGTACATGATCAGGTTTAAGGTGCTGGTTTTAACCTTTAAAGCCCTATACGGCCTAGGACCCTCGTACCTACGGGACCATCTCTCCTAGTATGTCCCACGGAGGACCTTACGGTCTTCAAACAAAAACATCTTGGAGGTCCCGGGCCACAAGGAGGTTAGGCTGGCCTCAACCAGAGCCAGGGCTTTTTCGGCTGTGGCCCCGATCTGTTGGAACGCTCTGTCACAAGAGACTAGGGCCCTGCGGGACTTGACATCTTTCCGCAGGGCCTGCAAGACAGAGCTGTTCCACCAGGTCTTTGGCCAAGGCACAGCCTGACCCCCTCCTTTGGTAATCCTCACAGAACTCTAGCCCAATGGTTGCCATTAATTTGATTCTGAATGGATTTTAGAATGAATTGGTTTTAGAATGCTGTGTTACTTTTATTGTTGTTAGCCGCTCTGGGTCCGGCTTCAGATGGAGAGGGCGGGATATAAATAAAAATTTATTATTATTATTATTATTCATTAATACATATGCATAAACTTCCTTCAATCTAAAGTTACAACACAATACTAATTATACCATGTATGGTCTCTCCTTCATTACCTGAAATATACTCAGATTCGAGAGTGGATTTCATGCACTTTATTCAGCTCATCTTGGTGAAGAGGAATGGAAGTTCCCCAGAATGTCTGCCTTATATACATTATTTACACAATGGGCCCCACGTGATTGGCTAATTCCAGGATTCTCCTGTAGGCCAATCAGGTTGCGGATTCCCTTCCACCTGGAGCTGGATTGGGTGGCTCCTGTGGACCAATCAAACTGCTGCATTCTGGATCCTATTGTTCTAGGACCAGGCAGACTGCTGCCTTTTGGATCCTATTCAACTCAGTACATAACATTACCTATTCATTAGGCAAGGAAACAAAGGACTCTCTCTTGTAGACACTTAAGAATGTTGTTTGCAACCTTGGGAGTAAAGCTGCTCCTAGCACAAGATAAGGCACAAGGCCTCAGCTAGTTAGCTGAGCTTATAGGTCTCTGTGTGCATCAATTCCAGACCCTGCTAGCTTTGACCTGAGCTTGACAGGGTTCCACAAAGCACCTCTTCCGTATCCTTACAGAGCCTCCATCCTTCCTCTCAGAGCTGAGCTTGGAGGGCTCCATCTCGTCTTCCAGGTCCTGCGGCTTCTTCCGCAACCAGCAACTGGCAAGGTCTAGTTTCCCCCTAGGTCTGCATTCCTCAGAGATTGTTGGCTCTGCAGCAGCAGCAGCAGCAGCAGCAGCGTTATCTCAGCCAGACTGGCTCTCTTGTGAGTCAGCATTCATTCCCCCTCGCTCTGGAGAACAGCCAGGTCCCAAGCAAATGATTTCCAATACTCGAGGCTTGTGGTCAGGCCGTGTGTCGAGAGGATTAATGACAAAGGCTTTTGTTGGGGTTGTGGGGCGACGGACTGCGGGGAGGGGGGGCAGAGAGAGAGAGTTTGACAGTATCTGGATCTAATTAAAAATAACATGGAGAAATTTTGCAAGGCATGGATGTTTTCCCCCCCTACCAGGCCAGACTGAGGTGTCTAACCAGCCCAGTCTCCTGTCTCCAGCAGTGGGAAGCAGCCGACAATTCTAAATAAAGATGCAAGAGATTTAGGGGACCGCCTCCTCACAGGAAAAATATATTCCTACTGTCCTGGCAGAACGGACGGGCTGGTTTTATGAGAATATTAGAGCTCAGCCAGTTCCACACACACACACCCAAGTACTGAGGTCTGCACGAGAGTGTCTTCATTCCTCGTGGCATTAGCAGTCACCAGAATATCAGAAAAGGGCAAAATTATTACGCAGAACCCAGAGCAGTTTGTGAATTAACAGGAATTCAGTCAGAAGCTGTCCAGGACTGCACATGTTTTGTCCCTGGGTAGGCATTTCGTAGAAATAACAAAACTGCTGTTTGTATTTGTTTTCATGAGTTGTTGTTGTTGTTGTTTAGTCGTTTAGTCGTGTCCGACTCTTCGTGACCCCATGGACCAGAGCACGCCAGGCACTCCTGTCTTCCACTGCCTCCCGCAGTTTGGTCAGACTCATGTTTGTAGCTTCAAGAACACTGTCCAACCATCTCGTCCTCTGTCGTCCCCTTCTCCTGGTGCTCTCCATCTTTCCCAACATCAGGGTCTTTTCCAGGGAGTCTTCTCTTCTCATGAGGTGGCCAAAGTACTGGAGCCTCAGCTTCACGATCTGTCCTTCCAGTGAACACTCAGGGCTGATTTCCTTCAGAATGGAGAGGTCTGATCTTCTTGCAGTCCATGGGACTCTCAAGAGTCTCCTCCAGCACCATAATTCAAAAGCATCAATTCTTCGGCGATCAGCCTTCTTTATGGTCCAGCTCTCAGTTCCATACATCACTACTGGGAAAACCATAGCTTGAACTATACGGACCTTTGTTGGCAAGGTGATGTCTCTGCTTTTTAAGATGCTGTCTAGGTTTCTCATTGCTTTTCTCCCAAGAAGCAGGCGTCTTTTAATTTCGTGACTGCTGTCACCATCTGCAGTGATCATGGAGCCCAAGAAAGTAAAATCTCTCACTGTCTCCATTTCTTCCCCTTCTATTTGCCAGGAGGTGATGGTCCCACTGGCCATGATCTTCGTTTTTTTGATGTTGAGCTTCAGACCATATTTTGCGCTCTCCTCTTTCACCCTCATTAAAAGGTTCTTTAATTCCTCCTCACTTTCTGCCATCAAGCTTGTGTCATCTGCATATCTGAGGTTGTTGATATTTCTTCCGGCAATCTTAATTCCGGCTAGGGATTCATCCTTCCCAGCCTTTCGCATGATGAATTCTGCATATAAGTTAAATAAGCAGGGAGATAATATACAGCCCTGTCGTACTCCTTTCCCAATTTTGAACCAATCAGTTGTTCCATATCCAGTTCTAACTGTAGCTTCTTGTGATAACTGTGCAAGACCAATAGGTACCCTAAAACCACATCTGCAAGGAAATGGGGTGTTGTCTAATATTCAGTCACAGCAGTAGATATGGCATGCTGGTTATGTTAGGGGCCAACCCTTAGAAAGCTTGAAACTCCTATTACACCAGCAATATTTATGTTCTTGTCTCCTCCCTCTGCCTGCATATCTAGAGGACTACTTTGTTTCTGTGTGATAGGGAAATTGGTTGGATTCACATTTCAATACAAACCTACCCAATTTGTACTTCACAGACCAATTCACAAATTGAAACAAATTTTGTAGTGCAATTCCCCCCCCCCCCCAAAGAATTATAGAATTGTGGCATTGGATGGGGGCCGTAAAGTGTAACCCCCTGCAACGCATAGGAAAAAGTGTGCATTAGTAAATAAAGCAAATGCAAAATTAGTGAAAGCAACTTGCAGAAATGGATAAATTGCATTAAAACGAACACATGAAAGGAGAAACCCACATGCACACACACAAATTTTACATGAATGTGTGTCGGGGTGGTTTTTTTTAATTCATGAAGTTTTACAGAAATGGGGGGAGGATCTAAACTTAAGGTCTGAAAAACAAGAAACAGAGAAAAATTGAAATCGACAGATTTGTCCATTCATAGAAACATAGAACTGTAGAAAGGGACAGTGTGGGTCATCTAATCTAACCCCTTGCAATGCAGGAATATTTTGCCCAATGTGGGACTCGAACCCACAGCTCTGAGATTAAGAGTCTCATGCTCTACCAACTGAGCGACTCCAGGATAAAGTATTAAAGATTCAAATAGTGATACGGCACCTGTTTTTGATCCGAAAATGGGATCAAAATGCACCATTTTTGGTCAAACAGAGAGTCACCGGGATTTATTTTATTTAATTTAATTTTTTTAAATCCACAGCAGCCTTCCAGCTTTCTTGCTG